TTCTCTCATTGTGTCAATCCCCAACTGATAACTGGTTTTCTACATAGTCTTTGAATGCTGATGAGAATAGTTTGTGCCCCATTATTTGATGATCCGCCAAATATTACCCAGTAATTTTAAAAAGTCGTTTCAGCTCAATGTTGGCTCAGTCTCACCATCTAGAATATTCACACACACTAAAAACAAAGATGTATGTCCTATGGGCTTTTTTCATTGTAGTGATTTATTTTTCACTTTCACATGGTACCCATCGCAATCAGAGTCTTTCTATATATTTGTAGTCAGAGGTGTTCACTAAGAAGAACAGAGCATGGGTCCTTGAGGAACTGTGACTTCAGGCAGGCCTTCAAATGCTGAGAACAAAATATCTGGTTGTGGTTCTCAAGCCTTTGGTCCTAGCAAGATGAATGAGAGGTGATTAGAATGTCTGTGCACCTGAAAATATTGGAAGGGGACCCCCAGCTCCCACTTTCAAGGGAGAGAATGGAAAGAGGCATGTGGTGGGCTATAAGGAGCAGCTGCTGTTGTACCTTTAAGGTGTTCTGCAAATGCTGGCAGGTGAGGCAGGTGGTTGCATTAGGAAGGAGAAAAGAGAAAGTGATTAAGATACAGCCTGTGACCTTAGGAAGATCCAATTGAGTAAGGGAGACAAGTACTCACAAGAACGTGTATTAGTATGGAAGGAAAACCCTAGGTATTTTAGAAAGATGAAATTGGCATTGCTCCCTGAAGAACAAGGTGAAGAATCATAGAACTACACAGGGCTCAGAGAAGCCCAGACAGATCAAGTACAAGCAAACTCACTAGTTGCAACCATCACCCCATACACTAAGAAGATTTTCCTAAAAGGTCCTGAGGCCTTCCCTGCTCATCACCCATGTCAGGTGCCTCAAGTTATGCAATAAAGACACTGTGACATGATATACAGTGGACCAAAGTGGTGCGTTTCTTTGTATCTGTGTAGAAGGGAGGCCTGTTGGAAGGAGATAGAGACCATGCAGCATGTGGAAAGTATCTCCGCAAAAGTGGAGTGAGTCCAGATAGGGTGTGGAAAGCAGCCTCCTGCAGATTGTGGAAGCCCCAGCAAATTGCAAAGGGCACTGGGTGGGGCAAGGCATCCCTTGTGTGGTGTGTTAGAAATTGGACTGAGGTGAGGAGAGTTTCAACTCTCCTGGGTGGTCTCCCTGGCACAGGAAGTCAGAACTTGAATGGAGGGATAAGGCCATTTACAAGGGAGAGATGGTGGCAGCCACAGCATACATGGAGTTACATGCAAAAGGATTGATCAAATATGCAGATCTATATCGATAACAGAACCAGTCTTCACAGTGTTGGATAAGGAAGCTGCAAATATGGAAAGAGAGAACAGTTGACACAACAATAAACATAATATTGGATGGGAACTAGTGTGAACTCATCACTTCTCAATATGTCTAAAGAGGAATTAAAGATACCTGTAAATATATATGTACTGTGAATACACATGTATATGTACAGCTCTGTCCACTGTGACACCTAAGAGTAGTTCACCCCGGAGGCACCCCAAAACATCTAGTGTCCATATTCTGTTTTCTAAATACCATTGTCCACTAGAAGGAACCAGGACTTTTGGACAAATAGTAGATACCAAGACAGGCAGGAAAAGCCTAGAACCCCTTGTGCCATCAAGTAAGGAAATGCTCAAAGAATGATAGGAAACCTGACAGGAAGGAGAATTTAAGAATTAACAATCCCTCTATTTCCATATCTCCATTGGACAATGCTTCATCAACATTTAAACATTATTATTTATAAATAAAGCCTTTGAAATAAAAATTATTTTTATCAGTTACATTCCAGCCTTACATACTGAGACTATGACCTGATTTCTGAGGAGGTACAGATACAAATATACCAATGCCAACCACAGCACATTAGAAACGCAATTTTTAAGCGCTTAGACCTACCTTTTACCTGTGGATTTTACTGTTTTCCATTTCACCCATCTATTCGTTGACCAATTAAGCAAATACATATTAAGCACCCGCACTCTGTAAAGTATTTTGATAGGGGCCGTGAAGCATGGAAGCTTCTGGTATAGCAGCCTGGTGAAGTCTACCTTGCTTGGCTTTCATTGTTTCAGAGCTGGGTAGAGTTGGAGAAAATTATTTCAGTCTCTCCCCACATCCAGATTTCAAGGATGAGAAAATGAGGTTGGTAGTTGAAATGATTTAGGCACCTAAAAGCCAATTACTTTAACCTTCCTAAAGCATACCCTGTAAAACTTTCCAAATTAGATGTTATCTGTGAACATATCAAACATGTGTTTTTTTGTTTTGTTTTGTTTTGTTTTTTTGAGACAGAGTCTTGCTCTGTCGCCCAGGCTGGAGTGCAGTGGCGCGATCTTGGCTCACTGCAACCTCTGCTTCCCAAGTTCAAGTGATTCTCCTGCCTCAGCCTCCTGAGTAGCTGGGACTTCAGGTGCACGCCACCCCCACCAGCTAATTTTTTTTTATTTTTAGTAGAGATGAGGTCTCACCACATTGGCCAGGCTGGTCTGAAACTCATGACCTCGTATTCCACCCACCTCTACCTCCCAAAGTGCTAGGATTACAGGCGTGAGCCACCGTGCCCAGCTCCCGTCAAACATGTCTTATAGCTCCTGTAATCCCTGAAGCACTTTGAGAATGCGAACATTATTCACAAAAGCTTTTTGAACAAATTAAAAAGGTCCATGTGCCCATGAGAGTTAGTTTTATTCATTGCTCTATTCCTGGTCCTCAAACAGTGCCTGACATATAGTTCTGTGTTCCATAAATACCTAGGGGATCATATTATTTTGATATCTTATGTGTGTATATAGAGGCTGTTGGAGGCGTTTCACCAGTAAGGGGCAGTGAGAGTTGCTAAGCCTTTACTTCGGCGTTTCAAATATCTTCTTGCTTTGTGTATTCCCCTGTGGAATCCTTTTGTGTATCTATGCTCCCAGTGCTGTATCTGGAGGACTGTGGGCAGATGGCTGAGAAGAGGGCCATGTGCCTCTTTCACCACCAGGAGGAGCTGTGACTTTAGGGACATTCTCGAGTCAAGTGGAAGGAGGAGAAGAGAGGCAGAAGGGAGGAAAGGACTAAGGAAGGAATCAAATGCTCTGGCATCAGAGTTTGCTCCTGTGCTAGTTGAGAGATCATGTGTGGACAACATGAAGACACTAAAGTCCATTCCACCTGGACCTGCGTAGCCTCATCTCTGCAGTCCCTCTGCTCATGCTTGGAGGGCCTCCTGTTATTCGAGTCTTTGTTCAGGTTTGTCATCCTAAGTAGGTGAGATGCTCCCCGGGGGTAGGGGTCATAGAGTATTCCTCTCGTGCCCCCTCAGCACCCACTGAAGGGTGCTTCCTCCCTAGTTAGCATCACATTACTGGGTCTTAAACTTATGCACAGCTGGCCACAGGGAAGGGCTCAGCTGAGCCGGGTGAGGACGCCTCCTGGAGTTCACTGAAATGAGAGAGGGGAGCCGGAGTGCGCTCGTCCTAGGTCCAAGACAGATATGGGGAATGCATCTGCCCAAAGGGAAGGGGTCTGTGTGTCAGGGAGGAGGGGAGCCACAAGTAGAAAGAGGAAGGAGAGATCCAGTTATTCATTATGGGAAGGACGGGCAGTGGCTAAGAAAAAACCAACTGTCTGAGGAAGCTGCCATGCACACCTGGCCCTGACAAGCTAGTCTAAACCCACCTCTTGAGGTGCCTGCACAAAGCTTGAAAGGGAAAGAGGAAGTGTGAGCTGTAGACACTAACAGTGACACCAGCAGGAGCGGAGACTTCCCAAGCAGCCCCTGTCTCAGGGCCAGGGAAGCACACCCACAAGACCAGAATGCCAAGCAGGGAGACTCAGGGTCCCCACGCCTCTGCCTGTGTGACCCTGCCATGGGCTGCAGCCTCCACTGTGGTGTGGTCCATTGTCTCAGGTGAGTCCTGGGCACAGGTGGGACATTTCTGTCCTTGGATTTTTTGCTTTTTCATGGAACTGCCTCAGAAGATGCTGTCTTATGCTTCATCTGAATTTGGCTTCTTATTTTCACAGGCCCCACAGATACTGGAATTACCCAGACACCAAAATACCTGGTCACAGCAATGAGGAGTAAAAGGACAATGAAATGTGAGCATCTGGGACATGATTCTATGTACTGGTACCGACAGAAAGCTAACAAATCCCTGGAGTTCATGTTTCACTACAACTATAAGGAACTCATTCAAAACGAGACTGTGCCAACACAGTGTCACACCTGAATGCCGACAGCTCTTGTGTACACCTTCATGTGGTCATGCTGCAGCTAGAAGACTCAGCTGTGAATCTCTGTACCAGCAGCCAAGGCACAGCCCTGCAGAGTCATCGCCTCCCTATGCACAAACCTCCTGGGTCTAGTGAGGAACCCGTGGGGGCAACATGTCCAGCTGAGCCTCAACACTCAGTTGAGCATTCCGGAGGGCCTCGGCAGACATCTCAGACTATAATACTGTCATTTATTGGATGTGACAATTGCCCAGACACCTGCAGCCCACGTCCTGACTTTGTCTTGAATGAGACTGTGCCTGAACTTGAATGCAGGACAGATGCTGTCAAGTTTAAGTTGTTCCAAGTATCTTCCAGTTCGTTTGTGCCTCAGGAAATCTTGTGTGTAGCATTTAACACTCTGGCCACACCAATCTGCCTTCCAATATGAACCTTTTTTATTTATCTTTCCACCCAAGTTAGACCCTGGATCTCACCCCTCATCCCAGCTCAAAATCTACTCAAACCTTTTCTTTTGTTTTTTGTTTGCTTGTTTGTTTTTAGATGAAGTCTCACTCTGTCACCAGGCTGGAGTAGTTCAGAGGCGTTATCTCGGTTCACTGCCACCTCCACCTCCCAGGTTCAAGCAATTCTCCTGCCTCAGCCTTCCGGGTAGCTGGAATGACAGGCGCCTGCCACCACAACCAGCTAATTTTTGTATTTTTAGTAGAGACGTGGTTTTGCCATGTTGGCCAGGATGGTCTCAAACTCTTAACTCCTTGATTTGCCCCCGTCGGGCTCCCAAAGTGCTGGGATTACAGGCGTGAACCACCGCACCCGGCAGCTCCTTTTTTTTTTTTAAATAAAGAATACCCAATGCCCTCCTCAGGTGGCTGTATCATGCCTGACCCTGAGGACAGTGGTTCCCCATGGGGTTTGCATCATTGTTCTCTAGTTCACTCTCCCTGGGGCACGTGCAGAGTTTCAACTTCTTGTTGGCTTCTCTCTTCCACTCAGTATTTAAAACTTTCAAACTTGATTGTTTTTCCTTCTGTCTCTTTAATCATAATACCAAGTTTTCTCGGCATCCATTATCAGCCATGGAGTCTGTGGCACCTGAATTGTTGCTCACAGCAGATAATAAGAGAAGGCGACCTCCTGGAATTTCTGAGCCAGACTTTGTACTCAGGGTTACCTTGCTAATCCCCGTATTTTCCAGCACTGCTCTTAATAATTAACGGCCCTCAGTTCTGCACACACCGTCAGACCCCTGAGCAGAGCCCTGCACTGTCAGGTTTCTGCACCAACACAAAGGATCCCTCCTCTCTCCTATAGAGGGCGCTCCAGGGACGGTGGGTGTTGCCCCAGAGACCAGCAATTCTGCCAGACCTTGCCTGGGGTCCATGGGAGCTCAAAATGCCACTCATTTCCTCCACAGGACCAGATGCCTGAGCTAGGAGAGGCCTCATTCCTGCTGTGATCCTACCATGGATACTTGGCTCCTATGTTGGGCAATTTTTAGTCTCTCGAAAGCAGGTAGATGCTTAGGACTCTAGGAAATTCTTGTTTTGAACTTACCTAAGACAATTCTAAACCATTCTCTTAATCTTCTTCTTTTCCCACAGGACACACAGAACCTGAAGTCACCCAGACTCCCAGCCATCAGGTCACACAGATGGGACAGGAAGTGATCTTGCAGTGTGTCCCCATCCCTAATCACTTAAACTTCTATTGGTACAGACAAATCTTGGGGCAGAAAGTCGAGTTTCTGGTTTCCTTCTATAATGGTAAGATCTCAGAGCAGTCTGAAATATTTGATGATCGACTCTCAGTTGGAAGGTCTGATGGAGTACATTTCACGCTGAAGATCAAGTCCACAAAGCTGGAGGACTCAGCCATGTACTTCTGTGCCAGCAATGAAGCCACAGCCTTGCAAAGACACCTCCAGCCTGTTCAAAAACCCTCATAGATCTGCCTCCCTCCCAGCCGCCAGCACCCACTTCCTGTCTAAGAAAAGAAAGTCTCTGGTTGGGTTTGTTCTTGCTGCCGTCTCCAAATAAACAGATATCCGAAATTGAATTAACAAAGATATGTTGGACAGGAATGGCCAGATGCTGTAGGATTTGAAGAATGTTTACAGATACTACAGAGTGTGATGGTGGGCTCTGAATATGGGAGAATTGTACACGACCAAGTAACCTGTATGTTCTCCCTATTCCCATTTTGCATCTTCATTAGAATTTTTTTGTTTTAGTTTTTTAGGAAAACATATTTTAACTCCCAGGATAGCGAGATGATTATGGAGTGGGAGTTCAGGTATTCCCATGAGAATACAGAGGATTGCCACAGAAATCTTCAGAAGGAGAAGGGGCTTGGTACAAGGAACTCAATATCAATCGGTCTTGTTCAGAATGTGGTCAAGAGCAGAACTATCTGATGACCCTGTCACCCCGGTGTGCTACATTTGGGCTAATGATGCTAGCTCACAAAATAACAAGTTAAGAGAGTAGAAAACATGGAGTCTAATATTAGGATACCATTTTACACCATTTCAAGGTCAGCAGAGGTCTAGACCAGCATGAGAATCGCCAGAATAAAGCCAGGCAGTGCAGGAACAGAATTCAGCAGCAAAAGTTAAGAGGCATCTAGAGGCAGAGGTAGGAATGAATTTGTCACTTTCAACTTAACATGAGGCAGCCAGATTAACTTTTTGAGTTTCATTTAAGAAACTATTGCTCTTTTAAACATATCTACTGAATTCTAAATTTTAGGTATTTTGTATATTTCAGTTCTGGAATTTCCACTTAAATCTTCCTACAATTTCCAGTTGTCTGCTAAAACATTTACTTTGTTGACTATATTAACCTCCAACATTTTAAAGCCAGTTTTGGATAACTTTAAGATCTGAATCTGTTTGGGTCTGTTTCTTTTTTCTGTTTTCTCTGTTTGGTTTCTGGGCATGTGATTTTGTTTTCTCACACAACTAGTGATTTATTTGAATGCTGGATATTGTATATAAAAACTATAGAGATAATCTGAGGTTCTGAGTGATTTCATCTTCCTCAAATGATTCACTTTTGCTTCTGCTGGGAATTGTAGCAGGGACAGATCACCTTAATTGAGCTTATGACTGAGCTGGATCAGAGCTGGGCTTCAGCCTCTGTGATGGCTGCTCGCCTTTGGTCTTAGCCATTTAAGTTCCAACTAGATGTCTGGAGTGTAACAGCTTAATTGAAGTGTAAATTCCATAACATAATATTTGCCCATTGTGAGTGTGCAATTCAATGAATTCTGATAAATTTGTGGAGTTGTGCAACAATCACCGTGATCCAGCTGTAAAACATTTCATCCTCTCCACCCAGAAAGTTCCTTCGTGCTCATTTTCAGTCAATTCCTGCTTCTGCCCCCAGTACCAAGGCCTGGGGCCTTTGCCAGGCTCCTCTCTGATTCAGTAGTCACTGAACATAAACGCTCTCCAGACCAGAAAGGTGGTGGAAGCTCCTCAAAGCCCGCTACACTCTCAGTCTTCCCTTTTTTTCCTCAGCTACTTAGGCAGTGATATAAAATTGGCAAATGACTTAGAGGGAAAAGCGGTCTGTTAGATCTCTCCTTTCTCCTTGAGATCCCAGTCCGTTAGGTTCTTACTGCCTCAGTAGCTCCAAGTGCTTTCAAACA